ATTTTATGAAAATTGAGCATCTAATAAGCAGTTCCGTAAAATTAGCTGGAATTTAATATTTGCTATTATAATTTTCTTACGAATGCACTAACTCTGTTAAAGTGAACTCCCTGAGAAAACACAATGTTTGTCGAACGTCTTTGATTATATTTTAAAAATTAATTAAATTTTTTTTTTGACAGAGAGCAGATAGAACTGATATAAATAAGAATATTAGGTCATTGTCTATTAATTTCTAATCTATTGTATAAATTAAAAAGATTCTTGAATAAACCGCTTTGCCTTAAGAGACCTAAAGCGGGTTATCCATACGAGTGAAGTGGGTAGGCACTGCAATAACGAAAAATATGCTTTAATTAACTATTTAATTGGTTATTATAGTGTAATTTAATTACTTTTCAATAGCTTTAGGAAGTTGCTTATAAAAATTTTGCTACTCTTAGATCTAAATGACTATTGAATCGGTAACTCGAAAACTTTAAAATCGTAAACAATATTTTTAAAATTTTTAAAGCAAATGTCTTTTTTGTAACACAAATTGCTTTGTTTGTTACTCACATTTACTTACGATCTAAAAAAATTAAAAATTAAGTAACAAATAATATCAGTACAAATCGGATACCTGCTAAACAACCCGCTGTTCCCGAGCAGACGTTTTGTAATTAAGCAATGGTAAACTCAAAAAGTTAAAAAGAAAGCCCTTATATTTTTGGCTAAATTTAAACTTTAATGGTCTCAAATTTGGACTCAAAATGCATGTAATTAAACCATACCACTGAATAACAGCTCGTTTAGAACTGAGCAAAACGGGAAGGTACTTGGATAACCTCGATGTATTCGAACCTCGCCCGTTGCGTTTCATGCGTCGGCACACAAGCACCTACCCGCTTTAGGCCACCTTCCCTTATACATCTGTTAACGTTTTTTTTTTGTTCAATCAAACTTTTTTGAGCTTTTCAATTTCCCTGTTTATCCATTTCTTTATTTTTAACTCTGTATTTCAGACTCAATGAGCTTATTCTTTTGACTCTATCTTGTATTACTATTCTCTTACTTTCTAAAATTTAAATATATTACCATTCTCAAACTTTCTTAAATTGATACACTATAGTCTCTTGATAATTGTCTTTGTGATGTTTTTTCAAATTTTATCTCATACGTATTGTACTATGTTGAAAAATTTTTGTTTAATGTCTGCCTAACGTTTACATTTTTTTTTGACAACTCTGAGTATGTTGATTCTGGCGTATTTTCCTGTCTATGAGCTCGTTTTAGAATTTGTATTACTAAGTCAATTGTTTTTTGCAGGCTTTTCTTTTTCTTCCCTTACATCATGATAATGTTTTAAAACTCATAAAATTATTACGATTCAGCATTACTGCCTTTAGTTTTTGTTGTTTATTTCTGTAATTATGTACTTATCTCGTGCTCTTATTTTTATCTTAGTAAGTTCATGTGTGTCTCTATTTTTGCGCTAAGTATTTCTGTCTAACTCGTGACTGTAGTGTCTCACAAAACAGTTTGTTCCATTTAAAATAAAGTTATTTCTTTATAATTGATAACTTGATTTTTAGTGTAAACAGTTTTTCGTTATAATAATAAATATGGTATTTACGATGATGCTTTAGTACTTATTTAGCTGGCAATAAAAAGGTCGTACGTTACATTAGTGATATAAAGAGTAATTTACTTTTTCACATTAACTCTTCTACATACTTTACAGTTCTGATCTACAAAATGTATCCTTAACAAGAGAACAGCAATGATGAATCGCTCACGCATTGATGGTAGAACCATTGAAGTACGTCTGTATTAATTTCGATAAAATAATAGTTCAGGTAAATTGTATTTTATTAACTTTATTATTTTAAAGATAGAATTGTATTGTGTATACTTTTACAACGTTATAAATTTGTTTCACAGCTTTAATCACTGGTCCTGATATGAACATATTAATAACTTTCGATCAAGTTGTAAATGGTGGTGGTGGTGGTTGCAAACAGTTATTGTATCCATTCTACATGGCTTGCTACAACAACCGACTTTATTTCGTTCTGGGACCTTATGATGTACATTTTGCTATTGATGCATTATATAGTGGTCGAATAGTTCTTTTTTTTGATCGACTAGTTCTTCTTTATTTCAAAAATTGACTTGATATAGGTTTATATTGTGAAAACAGCAGAAACGTAATAGACTTTCATATGAATTAAATCATTGCTGAAGTAAAATAAAGGTTGTAATATGAAGGAGTGACTATTTGTAATTTTTGAAATTTGTATTTGATATGCTAGAAAGTTGTGTTTGCAATTCATCTGATTCTGTTTAATTCTTAATGACCAACGTTTATTGGACTTAGTTATTCTTAAAATAGGTTTGGCACAGTGTAACTCGCTTAGCTTTTTATATGCGAATCAAATTATGTAAAATTGAGCAATGTTTACTAGTATTCGATAAGTTTATGTCATTTAACTTACTCTACTTTCGATCTTACCTAATACACTTGCATTATTTATTGCAAATTTTTAAGTGACTCGTGTGTTATCTGTTAAAAATACTTTTTTCAATTCATTATTTATACATCAAAAAAATGTATAAACTTAAATTTTATAAGCTTCTTTCAGAAAAGTTGTCTATTGCCACAGTTCAAAAAAGGTTTCTGAGCTGAATCAACTATGCATTCATCTATTTTCAGGTTTTCATACAGCTGCTTGACTTTTTTCATGGCACACTGATGATAATTAAAAAAAAAAAATTTATTTTTCATGGTTTCCTCTCTTTCTGGTAACATTTTATACTTAATTGTAAATAACTGAGTATACTTTCATAAACGATTTAATTTATTCACCATACTATGCATTTTTATGATTGTATCGTGGTGTGAAGCATATTAAATAAAATATAACATCGTATAACAATACATTTATTTACGTGATATGTTAGTGACATACACTATTTGTAAAACACGATTTTGCATCAAAATAATTATATGTTTTCGTATCGCAAAAAATCTTTTGGAGAGCATGTATCTATTATAGAATCGACGTGTTAAACTATGTATGCATTTGATTTTTAATTAGTGTATTTAATAAAACACCTGACTTGTACTCATAATATATTTCAATACCTCACGCTTTTTATCGTATCAAACATAACACAAAATAATCTGTATAAGTCCTTAGTACTTGAATAATATATTATGCATCAAGTACTAAAAGATAAATATTCTTACAGGAACTCAAAAATCCCGTGTTAAAAAGCACTTGATTTTTTTGATTTAGTAAGCAAAAATAAATACTGAGTCCTTGGTCTAATTGTTTTTTAGATCGTCTAAGTCCTTATGGTTTTAATAAAGAAGTCAAGAGATTATATATTCAAATTTTTAGAGAGAGCTTCGATGGTTTAGTGGTTGGCATGCTAGCCTCCTAGCCGGAGATACTGAGGGAACGTAGGTTCGAATCCTGTTAAGAATCATCAAGATTTTTTTCTCGGGCTTTTTCAACGTGATAAGTACCCAGGATAGCGAAAAACCACTCATCCAGTTTTTAAAATAAATTTCAAATTTTTCTGATAAAATCTGGATCTTTTTGAGGCTTCCTTTTCGAAGAAAAGCCACCACCTGGCCCACTCATCGAGTAAAGTCATTATTGATTTTATAAAGGTCGGTACTATAAGTTGGATGGTTTATTTGAAAATATCTTTTTGTTAAACTTGATAATAGCTGGGGTGTGCTTGAGACAATCACTTTACCCTGTAAATAGTATATAGTAGGATGAATGACCAAGTCGTTTGAGGGGAACTTTTGAAGGGGCCTGCTCGAATAACTCGCATACTTAGGGAAATGATGGTAATTATGGAAAAAAAAAAAAACAGGTTAAGATAGTGGCATGTAGAATACTTAAAAACTCTTGGGGTGTACGTAGAGTTTTAATACTAATACTGTAAACTATACTACTGATGCTGCACTAAACTTATACTGTGTAACTTAAATAGATACGGGTTAGTCAAAGTCGTGAGTTAAGTTATTCTTGCAGTACTCGTTTAGTAAAACCTAGAAGTCGCTCTATAGAGTCTTTTGGTCTTGAATAAATAGTGCGATTACACCTAATAACACTAAAAATTCATTATTATTTGGCTTGATACTAATACTCATATCCTCTTGATCACCAACTTAAAACTTATTGTTATTTACGTCAATATTTGAAAGTGAATTGAACGTTAAGAGTTCTACCAAATTAAGAATATACGTATGTTTTGGTAATAATTGAACAAGTAAAAATCATTGCGCTTCTGGGGTAGAAGAAGTACCAGACAAACTAAGTGTTGATGCTTCTTCTGCTCTATATTTTTTACTATTTCAAGTGCTTATCTATGTTTTGACAAGAAATTTAAGCACGAATAACTAAAGTTGTAAGAGTTAAATTGTTGATATCATTTGTAATTATACCGTAATATATTAATACCCCAATATAACATTAAAGCAATATGTAGCTGCAAATTTCAAAAACCATCGTAATAAACCAAATTCAGGCCATACTTTCACCATTTCACGCCATACGTTACAGTTAGTTCCAGCTTGTCAAAATTTATTATAGCAGTTTCACGATACCATGACCCGTAATTTAGTAAGTTATTTTGCATTTAAACTCCACGAAGAAGAGAAATTTTTAAAATCTTAAAAAATCTTGTTAAATGTACAATTGTAGGTGATTTTACTTTTTTAGAATTTTTTTTCGACCTTTTCCATGTAGCTTTAAATATACTTCCAATCCAATGTTATGAGACTTAAGATGGTTGGGCTATGACGGGGTTTTAAAAAAAGAATTTCTATACTGATAGATTTCAAATCACTTGCAACAGGGCTATAGTATAAGCCCTTAAAAAGGTTTTAGTGTGAAGTACAGTCTTATTTTATCCTACAGTGCAGTTATAACTACTACGTCATACAGTACACACATGGAATTTAAAGAACAATCCATAACTTTACACGTTCCAAATTTCGATCCTAATTAAAAAACAAGAAAAGCGTGTGAATCGTACAAGATGCTGCAAACTGTGCTTACCTGAGTGAAAAAATTGAAAGTATTAAAAAAGAAATAGACAGCATTCGAACTTATATACACAATTTACAACAACAAAAATTCCCATTCATTCTAGCTAATTTAACAAAAATACCTTGTCAAGATGCAGTCTTCCGCTTGTAAAAGCAAAAATTATATGTATATGCTTTTCGCAATAGATGTTTTTCTTCAATCATGTATAGGTTGTACTAATAAAGAAAAAAAGAACTGATGAAAAACTGTCAACAGCGATGCAGTTTGTATTAAAGGATGGGTAGGTGCCCGCAAACTTGCAAACTAATAATGGCAAAGAATTTTACGATTTCAAATTTCAAAATCTTATTTTAAGCATACAGCAGCCTCAAAGCATCTACATTCAAGTGATTCTATCGTACTTTAAAAGACCTGATGTAAGAAAATGTTTCTCCGTAGGCAATTACAAATGGTTTCATATTTTACTAACTTAGATTGAATGACATAATGATAGAAAACATCAAATAATTAGTATGAAACCAAAAGATGTCACTGCTAAAGAGGAAATTCAAGTCTTAATAGAGTTTAGAAATTAGGTGTGAAGGTAGCTGCAAATAAAAAACAAAATTCAAAGTTGGTGATAAAGTCCCTATGAACAAAATAAAATATTCATTTGAAAAAGGTCATACTCCCAATTGATCGACAGAATTATTTGCAATCACACAAGTAGCAGAAACAAATCCAACTATGTATCGCCTCAAAGGTTATTGAGATCAACCTATCTCTGGGGGCTTTTACGAGCAGAAACTACAGAAATTAAAAATCCTGATGTTTAACTCTTGGGATAATCTCTTCGAAGACATGGGCAGTAAGTATATGCCAAGTGGTTGAGTTTTCAGAACACTCACAATATTTAAATTAATAAGAGTAAATTATGAGTCTCTTTCAATTTTTCATAATTAGAAAAGAAAATTTTTTAACATAATGAATCGAATGTAATAATAAAATGAATTTTTTTTTTAAATTTTTGAACTAAGTTAAAGAATCTTTTTTTTAATTTAATCCATTAAATTAAATATCACATAAGAAAAAAATCTTTATGTACATCATCAGTAGTGCATTCAACAAACAAATACTTTACATTTAAAATAAATTAGCATTTTATTTATTTACTCTTAGTCGTAAGAAAATACATGTTTTTCATTTTTTATTATAAATAATCTAAACAGATAAGTTTCAGATACTTGAGCAGTTTCATACCCCTAAAAAAAGTTAGAAGCCATTTCGTACCACCTAGATGTATAATTTTGCGCTGCTGCCAGCTAGAGACTATTTTAATTCTGACTAATTTACATACCGAGGCCATCAAAAGTGGTCATTACAGCGAGAAAATATATCTACAAGCCCACATAAGAGTTTTGGATGAGTTCCAGAAGTTTACGTTTACAGCTCGATAGGCGAAACTTACAAAATGAGTTCATAATTAAATTTTTCTGTAGTAACTCTCTATGATGAAAAATACTTAACAAAATGCTGAAAAAGAAAAGAAATAAAAATAAGTAAGAAGAACATTTGAAAAATAAGTCGTTTGATACAATATTCTAAATCAATTGACGATGGAAAAAAGCAGTGGCAGAAAAAGTGCAGTTACAATCTCAGGCATACGATGGATTCGCCTGTTATATTAAAATTCATGCTAGTTATAAACTAGTAGGTTTAACTCCAGAATTCGAAAAAGTAAAAAACTAGTTAAAAAAAGAAATTGATGCTCCAAATAAAACGATATACAAATTTAAAATTAGTCTCATGGTTTAAGAAAGAAATAATCAAAAATATCTAAGGCTAATTTTAAGCGGGTAAATTCAAAAGTTGAATTGAAAAAAAAATCAATTTCTCCCAACTCGTGAACTTTTACTTGTGTAACGCTGTTTACATATGAAGAAAAGTGATAGAAGCAGTTATTATCGTATCCTTTTCTAATACAGTTTTTTCCTGCTCAAAAATTTCTGCTTAATGATGGCTGAGTAGATGCAAATCGTAGTTTTCTCCTACTCATAAATTTCTACATATATAATGACATTTGCATTTTAAGAAGAGTGATAGTAGAAGTCATAATTATATCCTTTTCTCGTAGCAGTCGATCGAGTTTTCACCAGCCACCAACTTTTAGAACACAGGCCTACTCGTCGCTGACCATCTATTATAATTGCCACCAGATAACTCAGGATGTGGGGCCACTTATCGCTGCCAGTAGTGAAAGAGCTGTATAAATTAGTTGAATGTTCACTAGGTGATGACAATAACGACGATGATTTGTTTTAGAAGAGATTGACTGCTCATCCTATATCACTGTTATTACTCGGTGGACTTTTTTCGATGACAACACCGTAAAGTCTTACTTCTTTATGTATGGAGGAGTTGAGTGAGCGACATGAAGTAGCTAGACTTTAGACAACATTAATATCACCTGATGCATCGCTGCCCGTAAT